TGTTTCTCTGGTGCAAGAAACTGAAATGGCAAGTAGTGCCAAACTGTGTATCAGATACTGAGAAATAAGAAGAAAATATTCAAATGGGAAGGGGAACGAGGGATAGAGGGAGGGGGAAAGGAAGAAAGGGAAAAGAAAAAATAGAAGGAAAACAATGGAAACAAAGCTTTTGTAAATAAAGAGGGGAAGAAGAGTTGATAGGAGCACAGGGGATTAGGGAAAAAAGAATCCAGAAATATGGACAGGTACAAACTTCCTCTAACTAACGCTAAGACAATGAACACATCCCTGTAATATCTACATTAAAGGTCGTAAATCTTCAATTAAAACACACAGATTGGCTGGGAATGGTGGTGCATGCCTGTAATCTCAGGACTCGGAAAGACAGAACAGGAGAATTGCTGAGAGTTCAAGCCCAGCCTGGGCTACCCAGTGGACCTTGCCTCAAACAACAAACAGATAAACAAACCAGAAAAAACTCAAACAAGCAAACAAAAAAGAAGACACAGGTTGCCAAGCACGATCAAAAACTGAATTTAATAGTCTGCTGTATGTAAGAGTTTCATCTAATCTAAAGATAGAGACATAGACAGACATATATAGAGAGATGGACACAGAGAGGGAGGGAGGGAGCGAGGGAGGGAGAGAGAAAAGGAGAGAGACAGAGAGAGAGAGAGAGGCCAAAACTAAGATAGAAAACCATATTTCATGCATTAAGAGCCCCCAAAAGGAGCAGTAACAATTTTAAATTCAGATACATGAAACTTCAAGTTAAAATTCATTAGGGGACAAAGAAAGTACTATGTTCTAATTAGGAGAACAATCTCACAAGAAGAGATAATGTTTATAAATATTTATATACCAAATACTACAGCACCTATCATCATAAAAGGAACACTGCTAAACAAAAATGATAACTAAACAGTACCATAATCATAGTGGAAAATCTTAACACCCCATTTGTCCAAGGAGATAAAGAAAAAAATAAGTCAGAAATATCAGAGCTGAGCCACAAACTTGAACAAAAGGAATTGACAGATGTATACGGAATATTCAAACCCATTACAACAGAGTATATATTCTTTTCCACAGCACATGGTACTTTCTCCAAGACAGACCTCCTACTAGGACACAGAGTCTGATCAAATATTAAAAAATCAACATCAGCCCATGTGTATCATCTGACTACAATGCAATGAAAATATAAATCAACCACAGAAGATACAGAAGCAATACATCTAGAAAATTAATACTAACACACTGCTAAAAAACCAATGGGTCACATAAGAAATCAAGGAAGAAATTTAATAATTCCTAGAAGTTTAATGACAATGCCTACACAACTCACCAGAACCTCTGGGACATTATGAAAGCAGACCTAAGAGCAGTAGTTTGATTTTTTTCTCAATCTATGTTGACATTAGGAAAACAGAGCAAGCTCAAATAAATAACCTTATGAGACATTTAAAAATACTTGAGAAACAATAATTCAGGGCCAAACTGAAATTAACAAGAAAAATTATGAAAATTTTAGAGTGAAAATCAATGAAACTGAGACAAAAAATATAATCAAGAATCAATGAATCAAAGATCTGATTCTTCAAAAGAATACACAGAAGAGATAAGTTCTTAGTGAATGTTATCAAGGGAAAGTACTCACATTTCTGCAATTAAAAATGAGAAAGGCAAAATCATAACAGACAGCATCAAAATCCAGAACATAGTAACTACTATGAAAAAACGTATTCCAATAAATAAGAAAATGTGGAAGAAATGGACAGGTTTCTAGACTCATATGAACTACCAAAGCTTACCCAAAATAATACAAATCTGCTGAACAACTCACAAGTGATGGAATGAAGACAGTAATAAACAATTTATGAAATAAAAAAAGCCCAGAATCTGATGGATTCACTGCTGCATTCCACTAAGACTTTAAGGATGTGATATCATCTATACTCAAGCTCTTCAAAGAAACTGAAAGGTGAGGAATGCTTTGAAATTCATTATAGAAAGCAGCATCATTATGATTTCAAAACGAGTTAGAGGTCTACCAACTATAGGCCAATGTCCTTAATGAAAATATACATGCAAAAATGATCAGTAACATATTTGTGAATAGAAGCCAACAGAAAATTAGAAAGATCATATATCATGAAAAGTTTTATCCCAGAGATTTAAGAATGGTTTAACATATGTAAATTGACATATGTAACATCACATAAGCAGAAGCCAGGTCAAAACAAGATGATCATAAATACATGAACAAAAACCTTTCAACACAATCTGACTCCTTTTATGATAAGGACCCTGAAGGTAATAGGTATGAGAACCATGCCTGAATTTGTTAAAAGTTATTTATGACAAACCAATTGTAAACAAATTGAATCAGGAAAGATGAAAAGCACTCACTCTAAAATCAGCAAGAGGACAACGATGCCCTCTGTCACCACTTTTATTCAACACAATATTCAAATTTTAGCCAGAGGAATCAGGGAAGAGATAGCACAAAAGGGCTACATATAGGAAACAAATAAATTATCATTACTTGTAGATGACATGATACTCCATACATAAGACCTTGACTTTAATAGGTTGAGATAAAAACCATATATTACAATTTTTTTTATCTTATCTACCTATACCTGTCTATTTATCTATCTATCAATAGGGTCTCGCTATGCAGCTCAGGCTAGCCTTGAGCTCACTTGGTAGCCCAGGCTGGCCTCGAACTCACAATGATTCTCCTGCCTCAGCCTCCTGAGTGCTGCAGTTACAGGTATGCCCCACCACACACGGCTGTACTTTTTTTTTACAATCAAGAATGGTTTTTGGACTTTGTCTAATGCTTTTTCTGCACCTATTGTGTGATCATGTGGTAAGTCCATTTGTTCAAAGGTTTGGCTCAGTTCTGACTCTTGCTGATTTTTTGTCTGGTTGATCGATCTGTGATAGATAAGCATTATGTGCTGGTATTTCGTGCATATATATTTATAGTAGTTATCTTTTCATTGTGAATTATTCACAAAGAAAGTATATAGGGACCTTCTTTGTTGCTCACTTTTGGCTTAAAATCCACTTTTCTGGCAAAGAGAATAGCTACCCTTTTTTCCCAGTTTCCTATAACATGGAGCATTGTTTTCCTCCCTTTGATGTTCAGTCTATAAATTTTGTTAGTTATGTTTTGTTTTGTCTTGTATTTTTTTGAGACAGGGTCTCGCTATGCATTTCAGACTGGCCTTGAGGTCACTTTGTAGCCCAGGCTGGTCTTGAACTTGCAATGATCCTTCTGCCTCAGCCTCCCAAATGCTGGGATTACAGGCATTCACCACCACGCCTGGCTAAATATTTCTTTAGTTAAATGTGTTTCTTGTGTGCAGCCTATTTTTTGGATATAGTTTCGTGATCCATTCTGCCAGCCTATTTCTTCTGGTTGATGAATTGAATCACTTTACATCGATGGTCCTAACTCATATGAACTGTCATATTATTTTCCTCCTTTTGGTTCCCTTTATCCTCCGTTTACTTGTCTGCTTTGCCTGGTAGATTCATCCTACTTGGGCTCATAAGAGTTATCTGTGTTAACTCTTTCTGGGATATCCTTTGGAACATTCTGGAGGGTGGTTTGGTGATCAAGAATTTCTTCATGTGCTCTCATGAAAGTACCTTACTTCTCCATCAATTTTATTATTTATTTATTTATTCATTCATTTTTTGATTCATTTATTTTTTGGTGCAAAGAATCAAACTCAGGACCTTGCACTTGCCAGGCAGGCAATATGCTGCTATCTCCTCATCCCTCTCCATCAATTTGAAAAGATAGTTTTGTGGGGCACATCAATGCAGGGTGGAGGGTATTTTCTTTTACAGCATGAAACGCTTCACTCCAAACTCTCCCTGACTTCAAGGTTTGTGTTGTGAAGTCTGCTATGATTGTGCTGGGCTTTCTTTTATACGTGATTTGTTTCTTTTCTCTAAGAGCACTTAATATTTTATTCTTGTATAGAATTCCTGGTATCTTCACTATTATATATATTAGTATAGACTTTTTCAGGGGGAGGTGATCACGGCTAATTGGAATTCTACATGCCTCATATTTCTGTATGTCAAATTCTTTTTTTTTTTTTTTTTTTGGGGGGTTTTTCTCCGGTACTGGGAACCAAACTCACGACCTTGCGCTTGCCAGGCAGGCACTTTGCCACTGAGCTAAATCCCCAGCCCCTGTATGTCAAATTCTTTTTCCATGCTTGGGAAGCTTTCTGCCCTGACTTTAGTGAAGAGATTTTTTATATCTTTTGTGGTACCTCCTGATTTTTTTTTGGATTGTGACCAATCTTGCTTTTCTGCTTTGCATCATCTAGCAACTATTGGATAAATTTTTCATGGTTCCTTGCTATTATTAAACGAATCTTATCATGATTACTAACCACAATCCTCTGTTATAGATATTATATTCCTCACACGGCTTATTTTGTGCATACGCTTTCTACTGAATTTTTTTTTTTTCATCTTTGTTTTTGAGACAGGGTCTTGCTATGTAGTTCAGGCTGGCCTTGAGCTCACTTTGTAGCCAAGGCAGGCCTCAAATTCACAACTATCCACCTGCCTCAGACTCCAAAGTGCTGGGATTACAGGAGTGCGCCACAACGCCCAGACTCCATTGAGTTTTTAATCTCCTGGATAGCTGACTGAATCTGTTCCATGGATACGATTTCTTTCCTAAGTCGGGCATTCATGCCATCCATCATTTTCATAAGTTGCTCTACTTTTTATCTGCATCATCTCTAGATTCACTACTTATGCCCTTCATTATCATCTCTTTAATTATCTGGGAAATTATTTCATTTGTTTCTAGAGCCTCATTCATATGCTTTGTTACCTAGACTTGTTACCATTTCAGAGAGGTGGGTAGCTTTAACTTGTTCCACCTCACTGCACACTGGGTTCCCCTATGTCACTGGACATCGGGTTGAACCTTGTTTCTGTATCTTACAGTTTACCTTTTTTTATTTTTATTTTCCACATTGTTGCTTGTAAATTGATTATGGTAGATAGCTCTATTACTAGTATCGAGGACTCTTTAGGAAACAACTACTTTTCACAGACGTCTTCTAGCTGCAGCTGGACTTTAGGGTTTCAGTCTGTTGCAGGATCCTACTTCTTCAGTTTCCTTCCTATTTGGCCCAGACCTTGGTTCTGTGGGACTGGAGTACGGTATTGTTTATGACCCTCAGACATCTGTCCTGGCATACAAGGAAGAGCAAGTTATTAGAACAAATAACCATGGCCAAAGCAGTACATAATCAGTAATAACAACAGAATCTAGCATAGCCTAGAAAATGACAAACTGTGGTAAATATTAATTTGGGCCCTTTAACCATATCAACGAGATTTATACTTAAGTAACAGCATATAAAGTAAATCAGAAATTTGTATATATTAAATACATAGTCAATTGAGTACTTTTACCCTCTGTTGAGAGAATTTAAAAGGGACACAAAAAAGAATAGAGAAACAAAAGAGATTAGAAGCAAGTTTAAGGAGAAAGGAGGATTACCGAAGCTCTTGGAAACTTGTGGAGACAGGAGGGAAACAGAGACAAAAGAAATAAAAATAATAATTAATTAAAACCAAAAATTAAAATCAATGTTTACATTCATGAAAAAAATACAATCACAACAACAACAAAAAATCAAGCAAAGAAGAGAGTCGCTGTGATTTCAAGACTGTGGTTATCTTCTGGGCTCTACAGTTTTCTGGTGCTGTCCATGTCAGAGCATGTCTCTACGGCCAATGTTGGATAAAGGAGGAAGATAGAGCCTAGATCGATACTGCATGCTACCAGCCAGTGTGCAGTAAGATCAGGGTAGGGTGCTATACAACCCCAAGAAGACTGTAGTAGTAACAGTGTACAGTGCTGGTTCAGTTCCATAGAGGTTCAGGCTAATACTGGTCACTGGCTTTGGGCCTGTGACCTGCGTTTTTCAGCCCATAACACTATGAATGTTTCTTGCCGGCTTGATCTAAGCTATCTGACCCTGGATGTCTATCAGGGCTGTCCCTCAGCCAGATCTCAGGCCCTCCTGAGAGGGAGCCAACCCATGGCTACTGAGTCCCTGCCCCAAAGTGGCATCCAGTCAATTAGCCTCTCCTGAGGACATCTGGAAATGGAGTCACTCCCAAGTCAGTGAAGTCCACTGTGTCCTACTCTGCTCCATAGCTGTGTTTCTCCGTGGAGGTCTCCAGGGTCCCCTGCCATCACCACAGCTCTGTAGGCTTCAGCCTCCTCTCTCGAAAACCCCGTGAGCAGGAGCCAGGGACAATGCAGTTTGCCACCTACTTCTTCTGCCTTGAGGTCCAAAACCTTGCGCTCCCTGTGGGCTCCACTGCACCCTTCAGGACCTTCCTGGGTCTTAGGGACACATCTCCCTCCTTCTTCTATCCTCCAACTTGCCATACTCTAGCATCTGGACTCCCAATCTGGGAGAGGCTCACTTCCTGCTGCTCATCACTCTGCCATCTTCCCAGAAGCAGATATGCTAATATTAAAACACGAACCTTCATACATAGTTAAGCATCTCCTAAAATTTTTCATTAAAGTCCATTTCTTTTTCTAAATACAACCGTTCAGACTTAGTAAATAAAACAATAGGGTTTTCTTTGGCATCAAGGGCAAATCCACCAGGGCTCTGCTCAGCTGTCTTGCACTAGTGTTTACCCTTCATTCTATCAACAGAATATTTGCAGCAGCAGCTCACTTTTTTGGTGTCAACTGATATTTAGTTCTTGTTTCCATCTATGATTTCCCACATTTTTGGCATATGCTTGATTCTTCAAAGAATCACCTGCAGAAAAGTGTTTCTGATTCTCACTGAACTTGAATTTAATAACAGCCCAGCAGGATGGCTTACAGCTGTAATCCCATAATGCAGCAGGCAGATGCAGGAGGACCGCTGCAACTTTGAGGCCAGCCAGGGCTATACAGTGAGTGCAGGCCAGCCTGAACAACATGGCAAAACCACATCTCAAAAAGATTAAAAAAAAAATCAAATTTGATAACAGGTTATGTTGTACACTTACACTTTGTATGAAAGAAAGAAAGGATAGATTAGTGAATGAACATCACATCAGAAGTATTTCCAAACATTAAAAATTCCTTTTCCTTAGGATGAAAGAATTCATGTATTTCTTTTTAAAAAATTTTACATTAAGGAGAAAAACCCCAACTATCTCAAGACATAATAATAGGATGGCTAGCTAAGTCAAAGTTCAGTTCCTGGGATCATTAAACTATACTGCCCTCACTAATCCTACCAATAATTCCTTCCATTTCCCCTGTTCCTGCTTTATGTGAGAGAATCCTAATAAAAGGCTAAAGAAATTTACGCTTCAGTCCCAGAGGCTGTAGCCCCCAATCCTGTAACTTTGTCTCTCCTTTTTCTTTTCTTCCACTGCACCTTGTTTTCGGGACCTGTCACCCTACACAGAAACCAACATAAGAGTATTTATGTTTTCACTGACTACTTCAGTGTCTGATTTACTTTAAACCTGCATACTCAGCATTCAATCCAGATATCTTCTTTCCTATAGAAATGAAGGGAGATGAGAGCAATACTACTTGCAAACTCAGCTTCTTGGGAGACTAAAGTAAAGGGATTACCATTTGAAGGTCAGAACAGGCAATTCAGCAGGAGACTGTGCTGATATGAAACTAGCAGAGAATTGCAAATATCTTTCAAAATTTCCTTGAAATTCAAGTAGTAAATAGCACATCTTCTCTAAGAAATAGACCTACTTCCACCAATACACATATGTAGATGGTTTTGGTGGCAAATTTACCATTTGTCAGAAATGCAATTAAAATGGTTCATTCTAATGTATTTAGAAATATTCCAACAAATGGTATTAGATATACTGTGTATAAAACAAGAAATAAATGTTTTTCAAAAAAATAGACATTTAGAAAAAAATTTTGTTAGAACATGAGAAATTTTCCTTCAATTACAAATTAAAAATATCATGTAGATTGTAATAAACAAGTACTACAAGTGAAAGGGAAGGAATACCTTCAAAATTCCAATTTGTTTTCATTTCTCACTGGAAGGGTAGAATACTGGACCTCAGTCACTCTGAGCATGCAGTTTACCACTTAACTATATTGTTATTCACTCAAGTGGTATTGATATGAACATTTTTCATTTATTATTTAGACAGTGTCTCAGTATGTAGTTCAGGCTGACCTTTAACTCATTAGGTAGCCCAGGCTGGCCTCTAACTTGTACTGATCCTCCTGCATCTTTCTGAAGTGCTGGGATTTCCAGCATGGGTCACCATCCCTATCTGCAAAACACATTATAAAATAAACAGTTTCAATAGAAACTTATGAAATAAATTTAGAAATACATAGAATTAAGTAATAATTTTAGCACATAATGTCAATGTTTGGAAGAAAACACTTTCTGTTACATATATAAACTTTTCAGAAATATATTTAGCAAAACATTTGATCAAAAACAATGAATAATTTATGACAGGAGGATATATATTGGAAAATCAGCCAGGTAGCGGCACATACCTGGAATCCCAGAACTTGGGAGGTAGAGGCAGGAGAATTGTCACAAATTTGAGGCCAGCCTCGGCTATACAGTCAGTTCAAGGTCAGCCTGGAATCCATAGTGAGACCCTGTCCCAAAAAGCAAACAAATAAAAATCAATGAACACCTTGGCATGGTGGCACACCCTTGTAATCCCAGCACTTGGGGCTGAGGCAGGAGGATCGTTTTGAGTTCAAGGCCAGCCTGGGCTACAAAGTGAGCTCAAGGCCAGCCTGAACTGCATATTGAGACCCTGTCTCAAAAAGCCAAAACAAAACAAAACAAAACAATGAACAAAGACACATACATTTATAGACATAATTTATGTACATATATATGACTAGATAATGAAGATGGACTAAAAAGAGGCAACAGGAAAACACTATGAAAATGAAAAACAAAACAAGGATAATGAATACATTACTTTTGACAAAAGATCTCACTATGTAATCCATCCTGGCCATCAACTCCTGATCACCTTGTATTAGCCCCCTGAATGCCAGCATTATACATATAAACAATCTCACCCTTGTAAAATAAGACATTATAAAGAAATATAAAGTAGAACATAATCTTCATCTAATGAATTTTAGGTAGTGGAAAAAGTCTCAGAAAGGTATAAAATCACAAATTTGGCAAAAGAAAAGGCAAATAGTAGAGAATGAAATAAATTGGCAAGCAACCAATGAGATAAAAAAAACAAACAAACACTTTTTTTATAAATTCATGTCCCAGGGAGTTTTCCAGTGATTCAGTGAAACTTTTCAGACATTGATCAAGATGCCATCTGTATATGTACCAATTTCTCAGGATAAATACATTTATTATGTATGGCAAATATATACAAATATGAACATATGTTCATACAAATATGAACATAAAGATGGTATACTCAGCTGGGCACAGTCTCAAATGTTTGTACTCAAAAAGGAGAAAGAAATCACTGCAGCTTATGTCAGCAGGATAAGGCAATCCTTATGTAAATTCAGATATGTTTTTATAAGAAAAGACAAATGTAGGCCCATTACACACATGTATGCAAATTGTCAAATGTGCTAGAACATTAACTAGCAAAATATAAGAGTGTATGAGAAAATAGTTTGTAATCATCACATGTAGGTTAGTGCAAGCATGGATCCTTGAAGTCCTACACACAGGAAAAAAGTGACTATATGTTAATAAAGTTCTGTCTGTTCATCTCCTCAAAGAATGAGTCAGTCCCATAAAGCTATGGTGACGCTCATCACAAATAACATGAAAGAACTGAGATGATCATTTGATTTTTTATTTTCTTTTATTTTTCTGTCTTTTTGAGGCAGGGTCTCAATATGCAGTTCAGGCTGGCCTTGAGCTCACTTTGTAGCCCAGGCTGGTCCCAAACTCACAAGGATTTTCCTGCCTCAGCCTCCCGAGTGCTGGGATTACAGGCGTGCACCACCACGCCTGGCTGAGATGATCACTTGAATCTTGACATATTTTCTAAAACTCAATTTTTGTTATTCTCATAGGTTTTTAATGAAGAAAATCAGCATTATGTGATTGATACCTTGATAAAATATATGTATTCTACAACTAGCAAATGATACAATGAATGGAGATGCAGTACATGAATTACTTCAAAATCAGACATAACTCAAGGATGTTCACTGTCTCCACTATTCTGTCACATGAAACAAAAATTCATGCATTACCACAGGACATACAGGCAAGACAGACCAAAAGGAACAAAAGGACTGAAATTAAAGATAAGATCTCTATGCATGAATATGAAAGAATCAAGATGTAAAATCTGAGAACGGTAACAGGGAGACTGTTCTCAAAGCCAGGATCAGCTGGAAAAGTCATAGTGTATCTCCTAGTTTCAATATTCACTAAAACTATCCCAACACAATGAAGCTACATGAAACACAAATTTGCAGTTATGTCCCTATACCATGTGCATATAATGAACATTTTGGGAAAAAACTACTATTGTCAAAAATACATTTAAGTAGAAGACTGAATTTGTTCAAAATTTTTGCAAATACTTTTGAACTCTGCCTTCAAGGAATCAACTAGATGTTCCTATCTGGTTCCTCACTGAGTCTCTGCCAATGTGATTGTTTTGTTAAGCAAAGTGCTGCGTAAAGCAAGGACATTATTGACAAGTAGAAGTGATCTCACACTCCATGAAATTTAAAAATGTTTTTAAAATTATTTTATATCATATCAACAAATATTTTAAAAGTCTACATCTCCAAAGGGCAAAATCACACATACAAATGAAATTGGAAAAGATGATGTGAATGTCAAGAGGATAATGTACAGACTCAGATCTGAAATGCAATATGCTAGGAATTCTTTAAATTATATACTCAATACATTTTTTGTATTATATACTCAATATA